TATTAAAAGATAGCTAACATACAACATTATATTAGTTTCAAGTGTGCACCATAGTTATTCAACATTTATACACCTAAATGTTGAATCACCATGATAAGGCCAGCAACTATCTGACAGTGTACCACGCTATCACTTCCTAAATTATATACATGGATTTCTTGATTTCAGGTCGCCATGGGCGTGCCGCTGCACCGACTGAAAGATATCCGGCTTCTGTACGGAGAGTCACCGTGGGGGTTGACACCCATTTCTTTTGATTTTCCTTCCAACCCTCCTCTCGCCCGAGGCCATGTGATTGCAGCCAGAATCACCAGTGAAAACCCAGATGAGGCAAGTCGTGGGGGGGGGAGCCCTGCGTTTCCGCCATCTCCAACCCCTGGCTGTGGGGCAGACTCCAATGTTAGCCTTGGAGGAGACCCCCCAGGCTTCTCGGTTTACACACGAGGAAACTGAGGTGCGGGAAGGGACACAGCACAGTTTATTGACACATAGTGTGTGCCAGGCACCGGGCAGGTCCCTTCTTGCATTTCATTGCTCACTTACGTGACAACACTGCTGCTGGGCATTGTTACCCTGCATTACAGTTCAAGAGGCTGGGGTAACTTGCTTAACGCTCCAAGCCTGGGACCTGCTGAGGCCGTGGCTGAGCCCTGTTGGGGGTCTCTAAAGGCCGTGTCTATCTTTGGATTGAGCAGCCAGGCTTAGAGCCTGGGTCCTTGGGTTTTTGCTGCACCTTAAATGCAGTCTGGCCCTTATAAGGCATCCCTCTGTGACTTGTTCTTACTTGTGCCTTAAAAAAAAACAAAAACACCCCAGCTGGCACCTGTCACAGTTTGCGTGCTTACCAACAATTGATTGTCACATCATCTCCATCATTTACCACAACCTAATTGTTTCATGATTACATTCAAGAAACTTGGGGTTGGGCCGGCTGAGTGGCTCAGTTGGTTAAGAACTGGCTCAAGAGTTTGAGCTCTGAGCAACAGCGGTTCGATGCCTGGCTCGAGCTGCACTGCCGCTGAGCTGCCAACAAGTGGCAGGATGGCTCAGCTAAAAAAAAAAAAGAAACTTGGGGTAAGAGAAGTTTGTTCCCCCGCTCCCCTTTAAACTAAAGAATTTTGAGCTATGGCAGCTATATTCGTTTGGCATCTTTGGTTGCAAGTAAAAAAACAACTCTGGTGGTGGACAAGCAAAACGGGAATTTTTCAGAGGGATGATGGTTTGTTCACAGGTGCCTGGGAGGATGGAGGACCAGGGGATGGAGTTCCCAGGCACCTGGAACTCTCTACTTTTTGCCTCCAGGCACCTCTGCTGAATGAATTCCTCCATCACTCACTTCAAGAGCCCTGATCCCAGAGACACTGTTCACGTCCACCCGCGTTACCAAAATTACACTCAGAGGGGACAGGCCATCCCCCACCCCAAAGGGAATTAGGCGTGTTAGCATCAGCGTCACTAACACTTGATTTCTTTATCTGCTGGGATTTTCGTGACCAGAATTGGAAATCCAGTCCTCTTTTATTTAAATTTTTTTATTATTGACAATGTCAAGAGTATAAAATTAGAATCTGGTACTTTCACTCAGCTCCACCAGTGATCACTGTTCACCCATATATCTGTACCTCCATCCTCCATCCCAACTTGGTTGTTATTTTGTTAATAGTTTTTTTTTTTAATCAGGTAGAGCTAATAATTATTAGTTTTTGTTGTTGTTGTTGTTTTTTAAATTTTATTGGGGAACAGTGTGTTTTTCCAGGACCCATCAGCTCCAAGTCAAGCGGTTGTCTTCAGTCTAGTTGTGGAGGGTGCAGCTCAGTGGCCCATGTGGGGATCGAACCGGCAACCTTGGTGTTATGAGTCTGCGCTCTAACCACCTGAGTTAACCGGCTGCCCCCAATTAGGTTTTTTCTTAAGTAAAAATGACATGTATTGGTGTTCTTACACGGATGCCCCCGCAGCTACACCTGCGCCCCTAATGAGGTATTAATGTTTTATGGATCACGCTAAGCTTTTGGCTGTGGCAGGCATTCTTNCCCCTTCCCCGAGTCCCTAACGCTGTTCTCCTCCCCCAATTCCACAATAAAATCTTAAAAAAAAAAAAAAAAAGAAAATAGGACAGGGAAAAATACATAAACTGATGGGCCAGTCCATGAATTTCAACATCCAACTAATGGCCGGCCGAGTGGCTCAGTTAGTTAAGAGTTACCTTAAGAGAGCGAGCTCTGAGCAACAGGGCCACCGGTTCAATTTCCACATGGGCCAGTGACACTGTGCCCGAGCTGAACTGCTGCTAAGCTGCCAACAGGTGGCAGGATGGCTCAGCTGGTGAGGGCATGTGCTCTTAACAACAAGACTGCCTGTTGGATGGTGGGCTACGCCTGCCCGCAACTAAGACTGAACTCAGCACCTTGAGCTGAGCTGCCGCCCGGATGGCTCAGTGGATAGAGCGTGCGCTCTTAACAACAAGTTTGCTTGTGCAACTCCCACATGGGATGGTGGCTACGCCCACCCACAACTAAGATTGTAACACAGCACCTTGAGCTTAGAGGCTACGAGCAGCCGACGAGCAGCAAGATGGCGACTGGCGCCCTCCACAGCGAAGACTGAAGAACAACAACTTGGCTGGTTCCCTTCCCCAATTCCCCAACACTGTTCCCCTCCCCCAATTCCCCAATTTAAAAACAAACAAACACCGTTCAACTGATAGGACTCCTGGGAAGAATAGAAAAAAAGGAAACAGGGAAATCACCAAGGAAATATTTGAAGACAAATTCCCCTATGTGAGTTTCCACATTGAAGGACCCCAGCAGATCCCCAGCCTCATTGATAGAAACAGACACATATCTGAGCATATATCCCTGTAAAATTGTGAATACAGGAGATAGAGAAGATCCTGTAAGTTTCTGGATATGAAAAAAACAGGTCATGCACAAAGGATCAAGGGTCAGAATGGCTCTGATTCTAGCACCGTTGGAAACTGCAACACAATGGCACCAGGCCATTCTAGGTTTTCCCTTCTAGAATTCCATACACAGCCAGACGATAGGGTTAAATGTGAGGGTGGAAGAAGGACAGTTCTAGAAGATGAATGGCTGCAAAACATTTACCCCTCCCCCGCAATACCTTTTCTTAGAAAGCCACTGAAGGATGTCTTCTACTGAAACAAGAATAAATCAGGCCAGCTGAGTGGCTTATTTGGTTAAGAGCTCGCTCAAGAGTGCGAGCTCTGAGCAACAGCGGTTCGAGTCCCGGCCCGAGTTGAGCAGCTGCTGCGCTGCCAACAGGTGGCAGGATGGCTCAGCTTAAAAAAAAGTAAATCAAAGAAGAGCACATATGGGAGACAGGAAACAATTCCAACATAGAATCAAAGGGAATCTCTAGGGTGACAGTAACGAGGGAGCCCTGTGCAGCCGAGAGCAGGACAGGCATGTTGAGGGCGTCATCATGATGTGCCCTGCCTTTGTACCATCCTTTTTCTTTCTCAATTTTTTTTTTTTAAATCGGGGAACAGTGTATTTTTTCCAGGACCCATCAGCTCCAAATCAAGCAGTTCTTTCAATCTAGTTGTGGAGGGCGCAGCTCAGTGGCCCATGTGGGGATTGAACCGGCAACCTTGGTGGTGTGAGCCTGCGCTCCAACCATCTGAGCTAACTGGCCACCCCTTTGTACCATCCTTTTAACTGGTTGAAACTACTGGAGGATATGCTCTAGCAAAACAATGGAGTCCTCCAAGAAAGAGGGAGTCATTTGATCCCCAAAATTATTGATCAAGCCCCGAGGAAAGACAAAGGGAACTTAAGGATGTCAGCGAAGGGACACTCCAGAATCACAGTTGAGTAGGGGGTCTAGAGAACAGCTAGTTCAGATGAAAGGAGAGTAGAGGCTTCCAAGAAGGTTGTCACCAATGGAAAAAAATAATGGACATGATCGATTGTCTTATGTGTACTGGGAGGCTATGAGAAGGAATGAGATGAATTAGCAACACATGCGATGAAAACCAAGTCAATGAAAAATCATTAACTCCAGGAAAGAAAACCAAAAAGAAAGGAAGGAAGATCTGGTCTAACGCAACCATCACCTGTGAATAATGATCCCAGACTCATAAAATACTGAATAGTGAGTCTAGCAAATTACAGTATACCCCTATTGAGAGGTTGGGAGAAGGGAAGTGGATGGGATAGCTGAGTAGGAGCGTTCATTCCTCATCTCAAGATAGAAAGGTCACAGATGGTATCTCAAATGAACAACTCACAAGATAGTACACACATTGTTCAGAACGATGGAGATGTGTAAGTGCCACAGAAGTGATTTCCTCTGGTGTCCAGTTCTGGAGGGGGTGGGGCAAAATCCTTGATTTAAAAAATTTTTTTAAAGATTTTTTTATTGGGGAAGTGGGGGAGTGGAACAGCACTGGGGAATCGGGGAAGGGGAACAGACAAGTTGCTGTCCTTTTGTTCTTCAGTCTAGTTGTGGAGGACGTTGCTTCACTGGCCCATGTTGG